AAGATAATGACTCTCTCCCTGGCTTCACTTCCCAGAGGGAGTGACACTGGTGGTGTTCTCAGAAGGCGCCTGTGAGCACCATCTGACAGGTGATGTTATGTGCCATCAACCTGAAACTGATTTATAACCACCCTAATAGGGCTTTCAAAGTACAGTAAGTGGAATATTCCAGAAGTAGTTTACTGGTTTCACCACACCAGTGAGTTCAATCGCTATGTGAATTCGTCGTTAAACGGTGCACTCGTTATGCGAGGCACCACTGTAGTTGGTGAGCTGTTTCAGCTATATGCTGATGGCAAAACCACACGCACGTATAAACCTAGAGACATGTTCCTCCTCCAAGGTGATGATAAGCAAAAGTGCTCTAATCAACTCTGTCCTAAGGATTGGAAACACAAGAACAAAATAATAATCTTAGAACTGCAGAGCTGGAAGGGACCCTGTAGATCATCAAGTTCAGCCCCTGCCAAGGAGGCACGGGGGGGGGGGAACTGAACTGCCAGAAACCTAAACCACTGAGCTATCCACCATGAAACAACAAAAATATGAAAGAAACTAGAGAGACAAGTACTTGAGAGAAGCCTTTGCACAGTATTAGCCTGTCAAATGTCCCTTAAATAGAAAACAGAGTCACAAGCGAAAATATCTTGAGGTGCAAGGCAGGAGTTGGTCGTAACTCGAAATGGTCGTAAGTATGGATGTTCGTAAGACAAGGCACCACTGTATTTAAGATACACTATAGTTCAAAGGTTATTCAGCATGAAATAGAACTTAGCTACTGTATGTAGCATGAAGCTGTATATTAATGCAGTTTACTGGTTTCACCACACCAGTGAGTTCACAATGCTGAGAAGGTATTTGAACTCAGGTCTCTTCATGCTCAGCCCATCCATGTACCTGGGAGTAAATCCCATTGAGCTCAATGAGAGTTCATATCAACTACTGAGTAATGCAGACCTGGGCAAAGTGCAGCCCGAGGGCCAAATATGGCCCGGAAGCAGCTCCTGCCCAGCCCCAGACAGTTTTGAACATCGAAACCATTTACAGTGGTGCATCATTTAACGGGCACCCCGTTTAACGATGAAATCGCATAGCGATTAACTTTTTGCGATCGCTGTGCGATGTTCCCTATGGGGAAAAATCGCTTTGTGATGATCGGTACCCTGTTTCGCTTACCGATCATTGGAAAGTGATGATTTTTTAAACAGCTGATCGGCGGTTTCAAAATGGCCGCTGGGTAAAAAAAATGGCCGCCCGCTGTTTTCTGGGATGGATTCCTCGCTTACCGGGCAGCGAAAATGGCCGCCGTATGGAGGATTTTCACTTAAAGGTGAGTCTGAAGCCCATAGGAACGCATTGAAGGGGTTTCAATGCATTCCTATGGGCTTTTTAATATCTCATAGCAACAAAATCGCTTTGCAGCGATTTTTGCTGCACCGATTATCGTCGCTATGCGAGGCACCACTGTATAGCTTTTTGTCTAAAGTTGATCAGCTGCTTATCTTTAACATACCGCAAAAAAACCTCTTTAGTATTTGTGAAGATTAACAAGTTTAAAACAAAAACAATCATAACATCATTGTTTCATTTAATTTTAAAGTAAAGTTGGTTCGGCCAATAGAAATTAATTGCCCACTCCTGGAATAATGTGTGAAGTCAAGGTTCTGATGTTTTAAGCTAAATATCACCTCTAACAGGAATTAGCTAGGTGGTGTAAGGCAACCTAGGATCTCAGTCTCAGCACTAGAGGTACTGTATAGAGATCTGTGTTTTTAGGCTATGCCACATGAGGACTTCTGAGATACAAAAGCACTCTGCAGTGCTGTGATAGTAATATAAACCTATCTAAAAAGATAACAAGCAAGCATAGCAGAAGTCCTTTGGAATGTATTAAAAGCAAGCCCAGAATCATGTCTGCAGAAGTGCAAGCCATCAGCAATACCTTTTAGAAACTGTGTTGTTTTTTAAGAGGAGACATTTTTCTGAAAGAAGATAGTTTTCATTAAACACCTGATAAGTCATCACGGTAAAGAAAGTTTAGAATCTTGTCCTAAATAAAAAATTTTGATGGAACAAATCTGCAAGGTTTCTATGAAAAGCTTGGAAAAATTACTTTTTGGACTACACTTCCTAAAATTCCAATAGGGCATGATTTTGATGGAACAAATCTGCAAGGTTTCTAGGAAAAGTATGGAAAAATTACTTTTTGGACTACAATTCCTAAAATTCCAATAGATAGGGCATGATGGCTGGAGGATTCTGGAAAATGTGGTCCAAAAAAACTACATTTTCTATGTGCTGGTGGCTGGAGGATTCTGGGAAATGTGGTCCAAAAAAACCTAAATTTTCTATGTGCTGATTGCTAGGAAGACAGGAAGTTGCCTTATTCTGTGTCAGCTCATAGGATTAACTGGATCACTGATACCTAGCAGTTATTTTCCCACTTTTCAGGCAAGGATCTTCTTTCTAACCCTTACCTGAAAATGTCAGTAAACAAACCTGTGGCCTTCTGCACTGGCACTCTCTCTGTATCTGAATTTGCAGACTTTATTTTGCAACTTCTAACATTTTGCATACTTTCCCCCAATTTGAGCCATTTACAAAGGGAACAAGAAATGTGGCTGGGCATTGAAGTACTACTGAAAAAATAGCTGGAAACCTGAGGCATTTGAAATTTCAAGCAGGCAATAGCCATAGGCTTTCAAACACCTATTCAATATATGAATTATAATTTTTTAAAAAAGTAAAAGCCAACAATAATCAGAGTTTAAATTATACTCACTTTATCCTATTCTGTGATTTTTTAAAAAACACTTGCATTGGAAGCAACCTTGCATACTTAATATCATCTTTTCTGGAAGTATCTAACTACCTGCCTTATTCCATAAGTAATTCTGGAGGAACACCTAAAGTTCATGGAAAGCTAGTCACCTCCATCTAACACTGCAGACTTCTCAGGGCAGGGACCGGTTTCCTTTTTATTCTGCTATGCAAATATTAAAATCATGACACATATCCATTTGGCACCCAGGTATGTTCTGAACAGAGTTCTCCATATAGAGTCTTTCCTCTTTTTTTAAGTTCATATTTGTTTGCTTTATGTGGGTGCAGCATGGCACCAGTGAAAAGCCATCTCTGGATAGGGCTAAAGAGAGTGGTCACGCTCCTATCCAGCGTCTGTCACACCTTCTCTGCCCGCATCCGATTTATGCAAAGCCTTGCATAGCTGCTGCATTGTTCCAAGCCTCTGCACCAGGGTCAGATTCTGAATATTTCACTGCAATATTCCACCAGCACAAGCACCCCCTTGCTCCTAGTCCTTATAAATCAGACCAGAGGATTCAGCTTCTGAAACTAATACAGTTTTCCTTGGAAGGATTCTTTTCTCTCCTACCGATGCCAAAAAAAAAGTTTGGATACAACTTGGGTGGAAGGAAAAGAAAGGGGCAGCAGACACATTACAGCTATCCTTCGTTGCTGTTGAGTTTGGTCCATGTGAAACAGCATTTCAAAGGCAGCAATGATATTTCTGGAACCCGACTGTCAACTATCATGACGTAACCAGCAGACAGAAGCAGTGCGCTGTTAGACGTCAACAAGCACTAAACTAAATCAAGAACCACATACACTCAGCACCAGGATCCGGTGGAAAATAATATTTTTTCCCTGAAAGGTAACATTACACTATTGAAATAATCTAAGGTCTCCTCACAGCTAAAGGCACAGACTTTCAACATTCAAATAAATACAAAAGCTCTCTGCAGAACTGATATTGCTATTCTGTGGAGCGTCCTTTTGGCCAAGCAAGGGGGAGTGCCCACACATACACACACACAGAGGGACGCTCCACTGCCCTAGTCATGAGTTGTCCATCCCACTGTCACAAAAGCTTTCGGCTCCCATAAAGTTAAACTGAACGTGCATCACTGAACTTGGTCAAAAGGGTTAAAGGGAGATCAAAGCTTATACAGCCCACCTGATCCTGATCACACCTACCAGCAGAAGGAAAATCCCAGCATGTAAGTTCAATGTCACTCACTCCCAAGTGTATCCATTGTCTGTTTTCTATATACACTTATAAACCAACACCAAAATTGTAACACAGTACATATTAATGCCCTGCATCATACTGCAAGCACACTGTGTGTTAGGTTTCTACTGAAAAAGAATTCTTATTCTTTTCAATGCAAACGCTTGTGTGCATATTTGCACAAAATAGCACAAAATATGCCCGTGTGCATCAATTAAACAAGGTTGCATTGGAAGCAACCTTGCATACTTATATCATCTTTTCTGGAAGTATTTAACTACCTGCCTTATTCCATAAGTAATTCTGGAGGAACACCTAAAGTTCATGGAAAGCTCTATCCTAACGTGTACACAATACAGATTACAGTATTTAACAATGCAGCATGGAGCTCTATGTGGGGTGAGATGTTTGAAAGGTGGGGAGGGGGAAAATTACACAGGAAGTGTTTCAGACACCCCCTCCCCCCCCCCGGAACCTGTGAGCCATTTCAAGTGGAGGATCTGTACTTGAGCTTCCTCCGTCTGGCCGGGGCTTACGACGTATTGCAAACAGTCCGTAGGGTGTGCAGATCAGAATCGGTGCATAACACCCCGGCGAGCATCGTCCTCCTTCCAAGAAAGTAGTCTGGCTTGCATTGCATTGCAACATTTAAAAAAAAAATCCTGCAAACGAGCGTGAGGCTTCCTTGGCAACAATGGCTTAGAAAAATGTGGGTGGGTAGTTTAAAAAAAAAAAAGCAATCGGATTGCAGTCTACAACTAAATCCTGCAAAAAAAAAAAGGGGGGGGTGCGTGGGTGGGAGCCAGACCGCCCCGGGTGGGGTGGGTAGTTTAAAAAAAAAAAGCAATCGGATTGCAGCCTACAACCAAATCCTGCAAAAAAAGGGGTGCGTGGGTGGGAGCCAGACCGCCCCGGGTAAACATCCCCGCGGGGAGAGCCCCCACTTGCAAGCGAGCCAGGCCGGCCTTACCTCCTCTCCGTGCAAAGCCGTCCGAGTGTCACCGTCGCCACGGGTCAGCATCCGGCCCATCAAAAGCCCTCCATGGTGGCGGCTCCGGGGCCCGGGAAGAAGAGAAGCCCGCCCGCTCTCCCGCTCGCTGGCTCGGCGCTTGCTTTGTTACTTCCCCGCTCGGCCCATGTCAGAGGGGGAAGGCCAGGCGGCCGCCGGGGGTGCGGGTGCTGCTCCTGGTGCCGCCACCGCCGCCGGCCGAGGGCATGGCTCTCTCCCCACCACCCTCTGTGGGCCCCCCCCTCCGTCCAAGGGGAGCCAGAAGGAGCCGGCCCGGCGGCGGCTGGGTAGCGGGGGGATGGGGGGGTGGATGATCGGAGGCGGCCCCTTCTTCCCGGTCCCAGCCGAGAAGAGCGCCGAGGAGGAGGAGGAGGAGGCGAGAGGGAGGGGGGGAGGGGGGGAAAGCAAAAAAAAAAAAAAAAAAGGGTGAAGACAGAGAGTTACAGCATATACAAAAACAAGCCCCGGAGAGTGAAGCGGGGAGGAAAAGCCGCTTCCCGGGGGAGGTGGGAGCAGGGGAAGGAAAGAAGAGCCGGCCGCGGAGCCGCCTCCTCCTCCTCCTCCTCTTTTTCTTCTTCTTCCCCGGGACGGGCGCCGGGCTCCGCCTTCTGTTGCGCGCAGAGGAGGAGGAGGAGGAGGAAGAAGAGGAAGGGGGGATGGGTTTGGGGCTGGGGAGGAGAGTTTTCTTTCCCTCCCTTGCCCCCCCCGGGTCTCCTGAGGCCACTGGCCCCAGGCTTCCCGTCGTGGGAATGTATACGGTCCAGCCAAGAAAGAGGACCAGGAGTAGTAACCGAATAGTAGCGCAGGAGTAGGAGGAGTAGGGATCCCGGGCCTTCCTGACAGCCCTCGACGCGCCTTTATCCCGGCCTTTTGTGTGGTGTTGGAGGGGGGGGTCGTCCCTGGGTTGCTGGAGGTGTTGGACGCCGCCCGGGGGGGGGGGGTGTG